ACACTTCAAGGAAGGGTTGATGAAAACTGCCGCGTGCTGGTTTATCTATCCATGTTCGTCGATGTCAACCGACAACACTGCAAGAATTGGCCGTGGCACTGCAAGAGGAATGGGTCAGATTGCCCCAAATCGTGATTGGACGGTTGAATAGGGGTATGCCACGACGAATTGCTGAATGTCTGAGGATTGGTGGAGCAATTACTCATTATTAAGACAAAAATCAAAAACGTCCATTTTCACTTTTGACGGTGTATCTCTTTGCGAGTGAAATGGGACCGTCAGATAAGCCGCCCATATGAACTATTTATGTTCATGTGTAGGCAATTGGCCTGTTATTAACATACACTGGTTACCTCTAATAAAAACAGCAATGCATTTCCGCAGTTTTGTATTGTTTCTGAATATCCCCTACTTTTTTTAAAGAGTATATATGTAGAGCAATCTTTCATAATGTCATGCAAAGTCGTAAAAATATGAGTGACGAGATATCCAAGTTTAAGATATTTGTTTATAAAAAGGAATTCTTACTGAACCAATATTATTGAAGGTATATACGTTTTAACCATTTCAGCAGAAAGTGGGGCGGTGTTACTGTTTACCCAATGCGATCTAATCGCGGCGAAAGAAGATTTTCAAATGTGGAAAATGGAACCGAAAACAACGATAAGGTGAGAGGAAACCCGGATGAACGCACGACTGAAATATTTTGAATGACCAAAGACTCCCGTCTTTCTATACTAATAGTAGAATAGTTTAATGAGCTCCAAGAATTACTGAATACGTCATTATCATCAATATTTGAATTATCTCCACGCTTGCGAAATAAAACTTGCGTCATAAAGTTTACAAGAACATCTTTGAACGAGTGCCTTGTATATTGCAGGCGAGGACATCTAGAAATGTACATGCGACTGAGACATCCGATGAGGACCACAGCTGGAGAAGAAATAGTGCGCGGACACCAGATGATGAGTTTACCAATACGAAGTCTACAAACAAAAATGGATTAACTCCCGTTGAACCAATTCAAATAACGCCCGCTTCTACTTCTTCTGAGACGCCCGATGAGGACCACAGCTGGAGAAGAAATGGTGCACGGACACCAGATGAGTTTACCAATACGAAGTCTACAAACAAAAATGGATCAACTGCCATTGAACCAAATCAAATACCGCCCGCTTCTACTTCTTTTGAGACGGTCGATGAGGACCACAGCTGGAGAAGAACTGGTGCACGGACACCAGATGAGTTTACCAACACGAAATCTACAAACAAAAATGGATTAACTCCCGTTGAACCAAATCAAATACCGCCCGCTTCTACTTGTTCAGTGTTCCTCGTAGATGATTCAGTTCACTCGAGAAAACCAGTAAAAGTTATTAAGGTAAAAAAACAATGGAAATAGAACCGATGAAGAAAAAGAGAATATATTATATGCGAGTAACATCTGGACAACAACGGAATCTTAAGAAGATGACTTAACAAAAAAGAATAACATTAATTCTGGATCCTCAACGAGACAACAAAAATGAAAAATATGGAAAACAAGAAGATAATTCGTCACTAAATACAACCACAAAACACAACCTGTTGCAAACAGAACACAAGCACTATTCACACCTAACAGCACAAGTGTACAGAGCACAATCGTCCTACCAAAGCCATTGTCCTTATAGAACGGAGTCAACAATTGATATAAAAACTAAAACGAACAATTTACAAGAGACAAATGTTACCAAACTGGACAGTGGTGATTGGGGTCAACCAATATCTTGAATACAGTGTTTCCACTGCGGAACTGGTTCCGTCATCAGGTGGAGGTCCTCTGTCTTCAAGCGTTTCGGCGCTTTCCACAACGCTCTCGAAAGGTGCGTCAACTGAGCTGATCAGAATAAGCTCAGAAACAGTTTGCACTTCCACTGCTCTTCTCTCTTCCTCCACAACCAGTTTGACGCTTCCTCGGCTTGTTTGCCTACTTTGGTAATTAAGGTCCTGCGTGTCGGCCCCGTGATGCCTAAGTTCCTGAGTGCTCTCCAAAATATTTGAGACACGAATCCTCGGCACCCCATCTCCACATGGACAGCTTCAGATCTTTCTGGTCGTGAAAGTGGAGAGGACAATGGATTCAGAATCTGGCTATTAAAAGAACGGCCAATAAATTACAGAACAAAGAAGGTAAGAAATGCGATATTTGTTCTGTATAAAGACATTCATTATTGTTCTTCCATGGTATTACCACGATTACGTTGGACATGGTTATATGTTCCCTACAGATGCTGTTCTGTACACATCAGTTAAACCCAGTTAATTAAAATACTAATTTACTTTTACTTTTAAACCCTGTAAATATTATATGGTAAGGGTAAAATATATTTGTGGGAAAGCAAGAATAGTAAGTTTCGGTCGTTTCTGCCATGGAGGTTAAGCGTCGATGCGGCACGCTGAACGATTCCATTTTGGTAGTTATCAGTGTTATTTGATGTTGATTGTAACCTTACTGGACTTTAAAACGAGACACGTTTATTGGGTGGTATTGGGTAGTATTTGGTAGTATTGGGTAAATAGTTCAACCCTAATCAATTAGTCTCCTATCTCCAAACGTCTAAATTATTATGCGACGTCGACATGAATACAAATGTAGAAATTTTAAAATGTTTAGGGGCTTTTGTACACCATTCGTTCGTGTCTTTGTAAGTTTTGTATATCATTCTCGTGTCTTTGTAAGTTTTGTATCTCTTTATGTACATGTATTAGGGGCAGACCCAGAGAGAAAGAGAGAGAGAGAGAGAGAGAGAAAGAGAGAGAGAGAGATACCCCATTTCTCTCTCTTATAATTATGTATCAGGGGCAGATCCAGAGGGAGAGAGGGAAATGGGGTTTAACGTCCGCTTGACACAAACTAGGTCATTTCGGGTTTTTAGCAGACCCATTTCATTAGAAATTACTAGAAATAATAATGTTTGTTCAAAAGTTCACAGGATCGTTGAACGGGATATCTCCTAAACCAAAATGTTTATTAGAAGTTATTCCTGAGGTGAGCCAGATATCTAAAACTCGACCTCCTAGTTTAAAAACAAAGCCATTCATGAAAAGATAGCCGGTATTTTATTCGATGAATTTATAAAAAGATAACGTATATATTATTAAACGCATCATAAGGCCTGTCATTGAGTCAACTGGCGTGGTTTCGAATCCCCAGTTTTACGTGACAAGGAGTAGGGTCGCCTGTCCTACCTCGTGGGTTTTCTGCAGGTCCTCATGTTTCCTCCATATGTTATAAACCATATGTTAGTCCCGAAATGACCTAGTTTGTGTCGAGCGGACGTTAAACCCCATTTCTCCCTCTCCTGGATCAGGCCCTGTGTATATATATATATATGTTTGTTTCGTGTACATTTTCTATTGTTTTTATTTCTATATGCCAATAACCTTGTAAGGTTTCTTCATGCAATAAAGTTTCTCCTTCTATATATATTAAATGTATGTCAAAATGAAGTAAAGTGGAGAATTTTTTATCTGGACGGATTTTTTTTAATTTATTTATGCATTTATCTACCGTAAACAAAGAAGTACTTGTACCTTATTTACTTTTTTATATATATATATATGAAATGAAGGTTTAATGTCCTACTGTTCTGCACCTATAAAGATCAATGACCCGGTTAACGCTTCATTAAACACATTGTTCAAATTTTAAGATAATACCGTACGAATGTTGGTTGTCAGAGTCTTATACGTTTTCCTACTAAAAGACATTCTCCGGTTGTACGTGACAAGAGTAGGGTCGCCTGTCCAACCTCGTGGGTTTTCTCCGGGTCCTCCGGTTTCCTCCCACAGCTAAAGACACCTACGCGCAATCTGGTCTCCTTGAGGTGGAAACATTTATACTCTTCAAAAAACAGTAGGGGATATTCAGAAACAGTACAAAACTGCGGAAATGCACTGCCAGTGTATGTTAATAACAGGCCAATTGCCTACACATGAACATAATCAGTTCATATGGGCGGCTTATCTGACGGCCCCATTTCACTCGCTAAGAGATACACTGTCAAAAGTGAAAATTGACGTTTTTGACCTCTCTCTCTCTCTCTCTCTCCCTCTCCCTCTCTCTCTCCTCACTAAACGACATTTGTCTACCTTAATATTATAATTAGAATCGGGTTTAACGTCTCGTCAACACATTACATGTTTGTTTTGAGAATAACGCATGTGTAGGTTACGTTGCAATGCACATGCGTTTCCAACTATTCCAGATGTCAAGCTATATTTAACATACACGCCAATATAGCAGGACCGTAACTAGCTTAGCTACTTTAAATTTAAATCAACTGCATTTTACTGGTTACAAATCATGACACAGGAAGCGAAATATACGTCATTTACACATCATTTACATATCGTACGTCGAATAACGCGGTAGCTAAGTGGCTAAGACACTGACTCGCTAGCCAGAGCGTCCCTGCATTGGCCGAGGAAGTTCATCGGCATTTCCCCTGGTTTCCCCTTGTCAGTGGTACAGGGCGGAGGGCCTGGCAAGGACAGTGATCTAGTCGTTTGGGAGGGACTAAAATCCGAGGTCCCGTGTATACATTGGCGTGCACGTAAAAGATCCATTGGCAGTTGCAATTCTATATAAGAGTAGCCCATAGTGACGCTGCCCGGGCAAAATGTCCCTCATATCACTCTGTATAGCGTATGCAAGTATTCATTAGCCCAGTAGGAGCAGAACAGGTGGGCGTTAATCCCCATTTTATTTCATTTGAAATAGTGAAAAACTATATTATGTACATTTTGACGAGTCAATGACGGATACACTTCAGTAAGCGGGTAGAGAACGTATCAGGTATACTATTTTTACCTGTTCAACACGTCTAAGTGTGCAACTACTTTAGATAATCTATTCATTTAACACGATCGATATTATTGACAGGTCATGGTCAATTCAAGTACCGCAGCTTTTCATAAATTTCGTCACACGTAACAACGAAACAGTTACTTACCTAACCTGGCGTGTATGTCGAAATCCAAGTATACGATACTATAGACAGAATCAAAACAAGAAACTCGGTAGTAGCGCTAGCGTCATCCAACTCTCGCTTTCACAGCTTGTGGCTAGAGGTAAAGACGTTATTAATGTTTGTTATTTGTGTATGTTATCGTCATGGAGGCACTCGCTACAATATAAAGACGCGAAATCAAGACATTATAACCGCTTTAGTGTTCTGTTTGGCAATGGGTCAAAGGTACCAAATAAACGGTTTTCACACCCGTATTAATATGAGTGCACAATCCAGTTACTGCATGAATAATGTCAACTATTGTATAATTGTATGGGTTATTTTGGTGGTAATAGTGTGTGGGACGTTCATTTTATTGTGTTACATAAGTGTACACGATCGGTGACGTCATAAGTGTCATTACCTTTAGTGTATACGTGTTATTTGCACATGCTTCGGGTTAAATCGGGTGTTGGCGATCACCAGGTTTCATATTGTGTAATTAATTGGAGTCACTGTGGCGTATTGGGTAGGACGCTGGCTCGCTCTCCCTCCTGGAGGTGTCTGTTATAACAGGAACGGTGTCTAATCGTTCAAATGGGACGACAAATCGAAGTCTTATGTACACACTATAGTGTGCACTTAAAATGTCCCTTGACAGTAGGAATTCGAAAAAACCGGGCCAAATTTTCCTCCCTCATAGCACACTGTATGGCGTATGTCCGTCTTCATTAGCCCAGTTGGGGTGGAACAATAGGACGTTAAACCCCATTTCATTTATTCACTGCAAAGTCGGTTGAGAGACTATTGGCCATTACCAGTAGTCTGTGTAAACAAAGATTATTTATAGATTTACAACCAGTTTGATATAAATCTAGGTAGGTCGATAAAACGAATAACGGTTACAACAATTTATAATAGATAACGCTTCATATCAAATAATATTTGAAATGACAAAATGACGGGCTGTTACAGACGGGCAAACGTCATAAACTGTGCTATTGGGGGAATTTTGCCCGGACAGCGGCATTTCCGCCTTTTCTTCATCGAATTTCAACTGTCAAGGTTTCACATGGGACCCCATTTTGTCTTGCCAAGCCCAACGTCACTAAAATTCAGAGGAACTTTCTCAACCTACTCTTTGCCAGTGGACAGTGCCACTGCAGAACGGAGGGCCAACCACGGACCGAGCCACCACAGGACCGAGGGCCTACCAGTGGACCTACCAAGGACCGAGCCACCGAAAGACGGAGGGCCTATCAGTGGAGCGAGCCACGGCAGGACGGAGGGCCTACCAGTGGACCGAGCCACCGCAGGACGGAGGGCCTACCAAGGACCGAGCCACCGCAGGACGGGGGGGGGCCTATCAGTGGACCGAGCCACTGCAGGACGGAGGGCCTATCAGTGGAGCGAGCCACCACAGGAAGGAGGGCCTACCAGTGGACCGAGCCACCGCAGGACGGAGGTCCTACCAGTGGACTGAGCCACCGCAGGACCGAGGGCCTACTAGGGAAAAAGCGTCTCGTCATTATGTGTTTTGGTCCCTAGCGTAAGGTAATTGATCCTTTTATTGACAATTCCAGACATGATGCCAATTAAAATAATACCTGTATCCATGTATAATAACATTGTTCAGGTAAAAAACCAATATTATAGTAGACTTCTGATCGATAATAATATCACTGAATGGTAGCTATCAATTTATACACGTCATTCTACCATTAAAGGAATGTATGGTGTCTTTAATAACAACGTCTGATTTCAAAGAATAAGCTTATGATTGTTAACAATCAATAGAGAGCAATGACTTTCTTGCTCTTGACGTTGACAACATCAGAGGAAGAATTAGGATTACAGGTAAAATTTAAATAGAACTTCTCGTGTCATTCACTTGAAAGTCCAATTACTATTTCTTATAGTTGTTTAATTATATTATTTATAGTTGTTTAATTACTATTTCTTATAGTTGTTTAATTACTATTTCTTATATTATTTGTTTAATTACTATTTCTTATATTATTTGTTTAATTACTATTTCTTATATTATTTGTTTAATTACTTTTTCTTATAGTTGTTTAATTACTATTTCTTATATTTGTTTAATTACTATTTCTTATATTTGTTTAATTACTATTTCTTATATTTGTTTAATTACTATTTCTTATAGTTGTTTAATTACTATTTCTTATATTTGTTTAATTACTATTTCTTATATTTGTTTAATTACTATTTCTTATATTTGTTTAATTACTATTTCTTATATTTTTTGTTTAATTACTATTTCTTATATTTGTTAAATTACTATTTCTTATAGTTGTTTAATTACTATTTCTTATATTTGTTTAATTACTATTATTTCAAAGTTGTCAAAAATTACTATTTCTTATATTTGTTAAATTGCTTGTATTATTCTAATTACTTATCATAACCATGTAATATTGCTTATATTATATTATTCTAATTACGTATATCATTCTAAATACTATTGTTTATATTTGTCACAATTACTATTGCTTATATTATTCCTGTTACTAATATTAGTTCAATAACTATTCCATAATTTCTATAAATGTCCGATTAATATTGCTTATATTTGCATAATTAATGTTTACTATTCCATTAATTAGATTAGGAAGTATTAAAACCTATTCCAGATTCCAGTGGGTGTCCGTCTTCATTAGCCCAGTTCGGAGCAGAACAGTAGAACGTTAAAACCCATTTCATTTCAATTGCTGATATACTGTGATATTTCCAGTGGGTGTTCCGATTAACCCTCTAGCAAGAATGTCGGTTGAAATTGGATCTTTAATGTACTTAATAAAACTGAAATGAGAGAATAACCAGACCCGGAAAATAAATTATCGGTTGATTAGTTGTATACAAAAACAAACCAGATTAATCTAGATTAATCCCAACAGGTAAGATTGGTTTGCGCTACGTCTACAATAATTCTAACGAAACAGATTTGTGTTTGCCAGTTCACATACGAGAATAATGGTATATTCATGTTTTCAAATGAGCACACATCCTAACCCATATCTATCCCTTAGTGTTCCAAATAACTTATAGTTAAACCTAACTCTAACCATGACTGTACGCCAGAGGTGACCGACCAGCTAGAACCCAAAGTGCGACACTCTAGACCACTGCTCCCGTCAAAAGGCAAAACCTAGTAACTCACTTTTGAGTTAGGACCAAATTTGTAGTTACTAGGGTATGTGCTTCCTGTTGTTGTACTAGATCTTCCAATCTTTTGATTTTATAAGCAGTTACACCCATGACACAACCTAGCAACTTCCTTCATTTGCCTAGTATACCACAGCAAAACCTAGTAACTCAATAGTCAAATCAATGGATAAGCTGGAGTTTAATATTTATTCATTACGTTTTCCTTTGTTTTCTCAAAATAAGAAAAAAGTGAGTTACTAGGTTTTGCCTTTTGACGGGAGCCTTGGCCATCTTAATCCCCTTGACTTGACATGCAAGCAAAACGATCAACTGCATACAGTTGAGAGGGAGGGGGGTTTTACACAGGTTAAGCCTGTTCCCCGATCCCATTTAGACATCCTGAATAAAAATATTGTATATAAAAAAAAATCAACTGCATTAGCGAAGTTCAATACACAATCTTTAGTCACTAGAAGTGACATCATGTCATTAAGCCTATGTGAATCTAATGAAAACTTCTGGTAGTTCAGGCCTGTGGGGAATTTGTGAATCAAATGTAACTTTCGTGTAGATAAAGCCTATTTGAATCTAATGAAAGCGTCTGGTAGGTCAAGCCTATGATGATCTGGGCTTTGTGAATCAAATGTAACTTTCATGTAGATAAAGCCTATGTGAATCTAATGAAAGCGTCTGGTAGGTCAAGCCTATGATGATCTGGGCTTTGTGAATAAAATGTAACTTTCGTGTAGATAAAGCCTATGTGAATCTAATGAAAGCGTCTGGTAGGTCAAGCCTATGATGATCTGGGCTTTGTGAATAAAATGTAACTTTCGTGTAGATAAAGCCTATGTGAATCTAATGAAAGCGTCTGGTAGGTCAAGCCTATGATGATCTGGGCTTTGTGAATAAAATGTAACTTTCGTGTAGATAAAGCCTATGTGAATCTAATGAAAGCGTCTGGTAGGTCAAGCCTATGATGATCTGGGCTTTGTGAATAAAATGTAACTTTCGTGTAGATAAAGCCTATGTGAATCTAATGAAAGCGTCTGGTAGGTCAAGCCTATGATGATCTGGGCTTTGTGAATAAAATGTAACTTTCGTGTAGATAAAGCCTATGTGAATCTAATATAAACATCTGGTAGGTCAGGCCTATGCGGCGACATTGAAACGTTCATGTTGGTCAGGCCCATGTGAATCAAATGTAACTTTCGTGTAGATAAAACGTATGTGAATCTAATGAAAACGTCTAGTTGGTCAGGCCTATGAGGCGACATCGCAACTTTCATGTTGATAAGGCCTATTTGAATCAAATATAACTTTCGTTTAGATAAAGCTTATGTGAACCTAATGAAAGAGTCTGGTAGGTCAGGCCAATAAGGCGACATCGCAATGTTCATGTTGGTTAGGCCTATGTGAATAAAATATAACTTTCGTTTAAATAAAGCCTGTGTGAATCTAGTGAAAGCGTCTGGTAGGTCAGGCCTATAAGGCGACATTGAAACGTCCATGTTGATTAGGCCTATGCGGCTACCACGAAACGTCCATGCTGACTAGGCTTGTGTGACGGCCATGAAACGTCCATGTAGATTCGGGGCGACATTTTGTATCTGTTAACGATTTGTTACTTGTATAGTTGTTGAGTGTGCTAAGCTATTGACAAATACGACGTTTGATCTGGAAGATCAGTATCAGGTTAAATGTTTCAACATGTTCTAGGTAAACATCACGTCCCCTTTCCCATTCATTGTCACCAGTATAGTAGAGACATGTATAAAACTGTCAACACTAGTCTTTGTTTACCTGTTGAACTACCAAAATAGCCACAATAGTCGAGCTGTTTCTAGTAAGGATTATAGCAACTTGTCCGGGATTAGTCAATAATCGAGTCAACAGACCGTCTATTGATTCAACCGCGAACCTGGTAAACCTAGTCTTAAATTCATAATCCAAAGGAACGTCAGTCACGCGACTTACAAATTATCAACAGTATTGCTAGTGAACACATTAACTTGTAATTTATTATACATGTCTCCGGATATACATAAACCATATTAGGTATGGCTTCATCTATTTGTTAAGGCCAGCTCAATGTTTGTCAAGGTCGCTGAGATGTACATAAGGTTAGGGCACGTGATTGTTGGCGTTGTCTACGATATCACCTTTGGTGGAAGTGGACGTAAAACTCTAGGAACAAACGAACGGTTGTTGGCGAGATTGTAGGTTCGGATTAGGGTA